TTGTGGCCATCCTGCTTCTTTTCTCACCCATACTTTTATTTAGCAAAAACATTCTGTGAAAAGCATTGCTAATATGGTAATACAAGAGGTCTTTGTGAATGAGGTACCAAATGTCCCAAAATATCAAAGGCCAGTTAGTATCCAACTCACAAATTCATAAACTGGGTTTGCACTCAAACAGAAAATAAATGATACCATAACCAAAGGTCATTTTTACCTTTGTAAGAGGCACCCTTTAGGTGCTATGCTTGACTTTTCATATATATTTTAACCTAGGAGCAATCAGGTTAGTTCATGCTTACATACAGAAAATCATGTAATTCAAACTATTCAAGAGCTCAGAGTAGACAAAGGTCACAAAAAAAATCAACTGGTTAATGTTTTGCCTAAAGACAGAAAAGAAATATGTACTATTTTCCAAAGAAAATGGGATCTCAAATAATTCAATGACTTTCCAGTGAATTTCTGCAATTCAGTGATTTTTAAACCACAGTGGTTTTTAAATCATAACCCTGGTAATATATATTTACATCACAACCTATTACGCGCTATTTTCATTTACATATGTAACTCAAACAAAGGTTTCACAAAACAATACTTGCCCTTAATATTTGTGATGCACTGATTATTTCCTATTCTAGTCAATTTTTTTTAACGTTTATTTTTGAGACAGAGAGAGACAGAGCATGAACGGGGGAGGGTCAGAGAGAGGGAGACACAGAATCCGAAGCAGGCTCCAGGCTCTGAGCTGTCAGCACAGAGCCCGACGCGGGGCTCAAACTCACGGACCGCGAGATCATGACCCGAGCTGAAGTCGGCCGCCCAACCGACTGAGCCACCCAGGCGCCCCTCTAGGCAATTTTTTAAATGCAGTCATGACCCACTGAATTGATTTCTCTAACCACAAATGAATCACAACACCAGTTTTGAAAAAGTGCATTAGTGGGGCGCCTGGGTGGCTCAGTCAGTTAAGCGTCCGACTTGGGTCATGATCTTTGGGTCCCAAGTAGTTCAAGCAGGCTCTGTGCTGACCTCAGAGCCTGGAGCCTGTTCAATTCTGTGTCCTCCTACTCTCGACCCTCCCAGTTCACATTCACAGGCTCTCTCTCAGGTCAAATAAACGTTAAAAAAAAAAAAATTAAAAAAAAAAAAAGAACAGAAAAAGTGCATTAGAAAGTATTGTTTCAACCAGTAAGTGTTTATTCACCATAACGTAACTACAAATACCATATCATGAAATTTTGTGGCTATTATAGAAATTACATTTACCGATTTTTTTGGTACAAACAACAATATAAAAATGTTTACTAAAAGGACAGTATGAAAGAATATTTTAGAATATTATCAAGGGGATAGAAAAGCCAAAATTAGACCAAAAAACATGCTCAATAGTTATATAAATTAGAAAGATCTGTGTGGCAAGATCAATTGATAACTTAAGTTCAAGGGTGCTTAAATACCACCCTTTTCAATAGTTTAGACATTCTTTCCATAACTTCAAATAAACTGAAAATCTGTTAAATAAATCTTTTTTTAGAGATAATACAAAAATAACTAACACACAACTGGAAGGATAATATATCAACTCAAAGGTGGGAGAATTCCTTATCCAAACTGCAGATGTCTCTGGTTTCTGCTCACAGAACAGTCTTAGTCTTAAAAGAGAGATATATTCACATTTTCAAACAAATATTCAAAATTGTGATTTGAAGAAAAAAAATAACACATAAAAGGGGATTGACAATAAAGTAGGAAAACAACAAATACTTACAGGAATGGAAAAAATATACTATGATAAAATTAACTTCTCCTGTTTTTTTTTTTTTTAAAGACTATAAATAATAACCTCAGGTAAAGAGAACCCAGGAGAGTGTTTCCAATCCACGGTACCTCAAATCATAACACTACAGTCAATCATTTCTTAGTGCCTTCCCAGAATATTTCCTTTAAATACCATAGTGATTCTGGCACAAGAAAATCTTGGGATGATAAGGGTCTTCAGGTCAAAGGCACTTTAAGGCTAACAAAGTAGCATACTGCACATTTTGGGGGCTGGGGGTGACTCCAAATGGCCTAAAATGATTTCAGCCATGCCAAACCAGGAATCTAGATGTCAAAAAATAAAAATAAAAACCGTATCTTCCCATTTCAAAGAGACGAATTTTGGTTAAGCTGCAAGCTTGTTAAGAACAGCAAATCCAGCCAGCTTGGATATACATTTCTTATTCTAACAATATGGAGAAACACTATTATTTGCATATAATTTACCTGCAAAATTAACAATTCAATGGTTTTTTAGTAACTCTGACTTTGCATACACTCATGTTCTTTCCCTCAAACAGCCCAGGAGTCTTTTATAAAAAAAAAAAGGGGGGGGGGGGGTTGGGGGATCTGAAGCAGTAGTTACTAGGGCAAGTGCTCACCATTTGGCAGAATATTTCAATGGAAGCAAACAGTCATCAAAGTGAGCTTTAAACCGGCACCCACAGTTCCTAACTTGGTAATCTATTTCAACAAGATTTTAAACATGTTTTTACTCACTTCAATTTTACGTAAACAAGTTCCAACAAACTCACTCACTTTTCCACCACATAGATTTATTTTGAAAAGCAAAATAAATGTGTCCCTAATGGGACACAACAGCTGTTTTTAAAGTAATTTTTCCATCTTTTAAAAGTACATTGTATATTTCATGGTATACTTTAAAAGAGTATTGAAAAATCACAGTGGCTTTGACCAAAATAATCTTGTTGTTCTATACATCTCATGCCTCTACACTCTACTTTCATTCAGGAATGAAATCCACAAATATATTGTAAAGTTCAGTGACTTTTTTCCTGTACTTCAAAAAGAACACCAAATGCTACTTCCACAAGCAGTGTGTTACTAATCATTCCTTTCAAATGATGTCAAATGACATTGAAGACATTAAGAATATGGGGATAAAGAAGGAAAAAGATTATTTTCTTTACGCACTTGAAAATACCCTTAATATTTTTAAAAGCAAAAATGACAAAGCTGTATAAAGAGTAAATGTACACAAGTCACCAGAGAGACAATAAACAATTATAACCATAAAAAATAAAACTGTAACAAGTACAAAGAAATGCAAAGACCATAGGTGATAATTTCTAAAATTGTATATTTAGTTAGGGACAAGAGACAGTTCTTGATTTGACATGAGCCCTTTCTCCCAAAGCCACTCTTTACTGAATTGTAAGGGGAAGCTAGCAATATATGGAGACAGTCATCAATCTAATATACATTCTGTCTCATTGCTACTTTCATCTTTACCATAAAATTTAAACTCTCACCAATGAGGAAGTAGTTCTTCATATCTGTAATTGTAGACATGTAAGTAAAAAGAGCAGAATACATTCACTTAATGGCAGAGATACTATTAAAAGTTGGATAAAAACCAAACTTACCAATATTTTTTTTTTTCTTTTAAAGACCTAAAGTATTTGACAAATTCCAAACTTTTAACAGATATAAAGTACCTTCCCCAACCCTGGGCCCTGCAACTTCCTGCCACCAATCCCCTAGCTTAGGCATAAATGTAAACGACTAAAGCCTAAATAGCATAATGAATAGAAGGTGAAAACTGACAAAAATTCTCTCCTTGGCCAATCTCTAGCAGGCTCATCTGAGCCCTCTGCTCAACTAGAACTCAATCTCAGCTTATAAAAACTACAGACTCCATCCCCTCCCCAAACATTAAAATATTTAAACAAACACTAACACAGTTTCTAATCAAGACCCCATCCCTAGGATGACCCCAGTCCCTCTTAAAGTGCCTGCCTAAGAAAGCTCAAGGCTGCCTAAAGAATTTAAGGTTTTATTAGCTGTAACACCTGACTACAGGCCTCTGAACATCCTATCTTAGACCATTTACTGAAAAGAGTTTTTTACAACTGTAAATTCTTCCTCTGTCCCTTTGGAGATGCGTATGCATCTCCTACATCTCAGGAATCCCTGTCAAGCACATGAAAAACATTTCTTTAAAATGTAAACATTAGAAAGGATAGGGCCTCAGTCTCTCAATCTCAGTAGGAGGGCAGGATCCTAACTTCCAGACAGTCTGCTAATAGATACAACCAACCTAGTCATCATTTACACCGACAAACCCTTTGTGATTTTTCACTTCCTGGACTACTAAGCCAAGTGAGCAACCCCTCCTTATTCCCTCATTCTCCATTTAAAATGCCAGTCACTTCTGCATGAATAAAAGTTGTGTTCAAACTGAACTCTTCCCTATTGCTATATATTACTGTTCAAAGTCTGTCCTTAGCACTTTAACTAGCGTCCAGCTTTATCTACGACAGAATGAGTAGAAAAGGAAAGTTAAACATCTCTCAGTTAGTAAAGACTCAGGTATTTTATTAAGATCATCAGATATGAAATTCTTTAAAAAAATGAAGGTTTAAGTTCATGAAGGAGTCATAATTTAAGGAGTCAACCAAATAGCATTTGGGGGCTGGAAAAGGACCTTGGCAAACATCAAGTCCCAAGCCCTTCATGTTAAAAATGACAACTCTAAGGTCTAAAGAGATTAAGTGATTTGCCCAAAGTGATTTCAATAAGGGACGGGATTAGAAAGGGCTAATTCGGCATGATTTTCTTCCTGACTCCAACATGAAAATATCCTTTCTCTTATATGCTCACTGGCAAAAGCAGAATTCCAAGTCAAGATCAGAGATGAACATGTATTACCCTACAACAACACAAGATTTTACAGTTCCACTATACATCAACAACTCTAAACTATGGAAAGCTTGGTGCAAGTACACAGATGATTTCATTTCACTCAGGGAAGGCTAATTTAATAATCCTAACAAATATATGAAGCATCTTGGTAAGGAGAATCTGCTTTCACACACCAGCAAAGAAAACAAAACCCCATGCATAAACACAAAAGGAGGCCAAATAATTTAGATCATCTTAAAAACAATCAAAAAAGAAAAATAAAAATAAATTAAAAACCTTTTTTCTGCACTTACCAGCAAAGCATTTGGAACAGAGGTTCATAGTCTTGCTGGACCTGGGGCAAAAAAAAAAGAAAGAAAAGAAAGAAGAGCTAAAAATTCAGTATTACTCTAATGAAAACATAAAGATGTTTGAAATGTAAGCAAGAATCCCCTGGCCAGACAACTGAACTAATAAACTAATAAACTAACCAACCACCCTCTCCCACAAGGAGACAAAACAAAGAAAACAACAAAAACAAAATATGATACTTTATTATCAGTGAGTTAACCAATGCTTTGTTTTTTGTGATTAGCAAAACTCAGAAATTAAGTAGCAGCAAGTTCAGAATTACTCTAACATGCCCAGATAATGACACAGGAGTCAATTTGTCCCACAAGATTACCACTTTCCGTCTGTTCACACTGGAACATATACCACAAAATTATCACTACAGACAACGAAACTTTTGTCTCTAAAGGAGTAAAACTGTCTCCCCAGATATATACTTATTTATCTCCATAACATTACTTAAATTTTTATGTTCTCTTCTTTCCTTTCATTCTAGTCCTATTTCAGATCCTGGTCACATTATGACCCTGTAGTTTAAAATTCTTTCTTCAGATGTTACCAATCAAATTATTTTTCATGTCCTTTCATCTGTTAATAATGGCTACAACTCACTGAACACTAACTCTGATGGACACTAAACACATTATCTTATTAATAAACCCAATATCTGTGAGATAGGTATTACCATATTGCTTGCTTCTAAAAATGCACTTTAAAAAAATCACATTAAAATGTCTAGAATCAGGAAACATCATATGATTGGCTACAGATGATGACTAAATTAATGAAATATTCCTACCACCTCCTCCATGGTGTTATTAAATTGAGGGATCTTAGGAAATCAAGGACAGTCTCATCTCCACTTGACCAGCTAGCATTTGCCCAAGGTCACAGGATTAGGAAACGGCAGAGAAAATAAATGACCTTGGGCCTGAGCCAATGCCAAAGGCCATCCTTTGTTCACAGCATAACACAGCACCTGGTACCACACAGCATCCCAGGCACAACAAGGCGGGCAATCAATAACTTGTCTATGAAGTTCTTCTCATCGCTGTTTCCCTTCCTGATTCTCTCCCAAGTGCACTCATTCCTACAGCCATCTTCCAAAAACCTCCTACAATACTTTCTGTTGGATATAAGCGGACCTATTTACAGCCTCATTCCCCAGCAACACCCCTCCCAAAATCTTAGTCTTTGCCCAGAGCTGCTCCTACACAGAATAAGCCAACTTTCTTCTGCCCTTCCTAGTAAAGTTCATAATTAATGAAAGCCTCCCTCAGGAAGTATTCCCTGATGGCTATGAAGGTTTCCCTCTATACTGGAACCCAAGACCTAAGGGTAAGCAACTGTCACAGGGTGACAAAATTGGGGTGGGGGTGGGGGAGTCATTGCTTCTATTTCCCAAAAGAGATGCTACGTCAACTGGAGGATCTTTCTTTAGAATTCTGCTTAATATAAAGACATCAAAGGCAGTAAGGAAATCTTAACTATCACTAAATGAATAAAAATGAACAAAGAGATGAAAAGATGTTATTAAGAGTGGAATCTAACATTTATTATATTACCTACATGTGGTAAGCATACCAGATGCCTTCAACCCACTTTACCAAACGAGGAAAGGGAGCCTTCCAGAGGGTATATAACTTGCCCAAGGTTACAGAACAAGCGGATGACCCTGGTCTGCCTAACTCCAAAGCCTGTGTTCTTTTCACCCAAATTAAGGCCTCTGCCCCCAATACAGAAGCAGAAGAGTACAAATAATTCCCAAGTCAGCACTCTGGTCGTTTGGGAAAATGGTCCCATGAGTAAAGACTGAATGTATGGTAATCGAGTCAGCTCCCTGAGAAAGCAGAACCTTCCAACAGGATAAAGCCCAATCCCTGACTTCCCCTCCAAATATACATACACATGTATGTGCAGGGAAGCAACCCTGACTGACAGTTATTTCAGTTCCAACTGAAAGAGAACTGAGGATGAAAGAATATCTTTGTTACCAGAAATTCCCCCCAGGAAAGCAGGGCTCTTCCAGATATGGTCACTATCTTTGTCCATGCAGCAGCACTGAAAGCAAGAGGTAATTTGTTTATCACTTCTGCTGCCCCCCACATCCAGCAGGTATCATGGAACGCCTGCAAAGAACCACTGAGGGCAGCTCGGCACCAAGTGTGCAGTGTTACCATTTGTGTTTCACAAAACTGGTTAAGGAAAAAAATGGCAAAATAGCATTTTTCTCTGCATCCCCTATTCTTTCCAGAGAATTTATTTAAAATACCCACCATACCTAAATTTTACTTAAATGACATTCATCCCACTTTCTGAATAGGAATTTTCCAGCAACATGCTTATCAATGAGGTTGTGAAAGACATAATACAGCCACTGATATTATTAATCAAAACGGAGATGCCTGAAATCTAAAATAAGCCAACCTTTGGCTATAGAAATAATGGCCACTGGTAATGCCAACTTGGATCACACAGGTCAGCAAAACAGAACTTGAAAGAACTGGCAGAGGCTTCTGAGAACTCTTCTCCTTTCTCATGTTCGACATGTGAAACTTGAAGCTAACCATAGGCATACGACTACCGACTGCCCGTGGAAAAGCAGTGTGATCAACTTGCAGTCTTGGGACAGACAACAGAGTTTCTCTATGTGATAGCAAACATGAAAGGTAAACAGGATTCTCTTATGTCCCACTGCTCCAAAGAAACAGCTCTTATTGAGATCTCCAAAGGCTACCATGTTTCTAAAACCAAGGATTAGTGGCTTGAATAATGGCCATCCAAAGATAACAAATCCTAATCCCTGGAATTTATTTTATCTGGAAAAAAGGTCTTTGCAGACAACTTAAAGATTTTGAGTTTACCCTGTATTATTCAGGTGGGCCCTAAATGATATAACACGCATTTGTGAGAAAGGGTAAAGGAGTCTGGAGAGACACACAGAGGAGAAAATGATATAAAGATTAGGTAGAGCTGTAGGAACGTGGCCACAAACCTAGGAATACTGGGACAGCTAACAGAAGCTGGAAAAGGGAAGGAATGGATTCTTCCCTAGGGCCCCACAGAGAGAAGGCAGCTCTGCCACATTTTGGACTTCCAGCTTCCAGAACTTTAAGAGAATAAATCTCTATTGTTGTTTTTTAAGTTTATTTATTGTTTGACAGACAGAGTGGGGGAAGAGCAAAGCGAGAGGAGAAGGAGAATCTCAAGCAGGCTCAGTGCCATCAGTAGCAAGAAGCCCAACACCAGGCTCAAACTCACAACCTCAAGATCATGACCTGAGCCAAAATCGAGTCTCAGATGCTTAACCGAGAGAGCCACCCAGGTTCCCCTAAGTCTCTGTTGTTTTAAGTCATCCAATTTGTGTTAATTTGTTATGGCAGTCTCACAAAACAAATACACAGTTAGGTCTCTGATCATCTCAATGCCTCCCACTCAATAGCATTCATCCAGATCCATCCCTCTTGAAACTCTCTTTACTTTTGCCTTCTTGTTGCTTGGATCCTAGATCAAATTTACAACCCCCCCCCCCCCCCCAACCTAGTTTTCCTCACCTAACTGCTCTCTTTTAGCCACCTTTGCTGGCTCCTCCTCCAATGTCAAGACCTTTACCTGGAGGTCCCAGGACTCAGTCCCTGTTACCTCCACTTCTCCCATGGCTTTAAATATTGTATCTAAACAATAGACTCACAAATAAATGTTCACACTCATCCCAAACCTCTTCACCTTGCTCCAAACTCATGTATTAAAATGCCTATTGGGGCGCCTGGGTGGCGCAGTCAGTAAAGCATCCGACTTCAGCCAGGTCACGATCTCGCGGTCCGTGAGTTCGAGCCCCGCGTCAGGCTCTGGGCTGATGGCTCAGAGCCTGGAGCCTGTTTCCAATTCTGTGTCTCCCTCTCTCTCTGCCCCTCCCCTGTTCATGCTCTGTCTCTCTCTGTCCCAAAAATAAATAAACGTTGAAAAAAAAAAAAAAGAAAAGAAAAGAAAAAATAAATAAATAAATAAAATAAAATGCCTATTTGATATCTCAAAATGCAGCTCAGAGTCAACATTTCAAACTAGAACTTTCAATACTCCCAAACTTGCCTGATGCATTTTATCCACTTTTATGAATAACAACACCTTCTTTCCAGTTGCTCAAGTCAAAATTCTAGAAACCAACTTTGATTTCCGTCTTTCCTGTAGTCTCTCATACACAGTACTCAGCAAGATCCACTGGGTCTATTTCCAAACAGACCTCAAATTTATCTACCCTCTCCTTTGTCAATGCTTCCACTCTGGCAACCATTACCTCATACCTGGGTCATTGTAAATGACTTTTTAGTGGTCTCTCCATTCCCACTCTTGATTTCTTAAAATGATTTTGCAATGAGTAATCTTTTAAAAGCAAATTAGATCATGCTATTTCTTGCTTAATGCCATCCAACAATTTCCTACTGCATTTAATACAAAATTCAAACATCTTACCAAAACCATTTAGTTCCCTCATGGTCTTGCTCTGCCTACCTCCCCTCTTTATTTCTCACCATTTTGCAACCCTCACTTACCACATTCCAACCACACTGGCCTTTTTTCCTGTTCCTAGAATGTGCTGTAGAGCTCTTGCCCATGCTGTTTCTTCTACCCTCAAATCACAGTAAGACTAGCTCTTTCTTGTCACTCAGGTCCTGGTTCAAACCTCCTCAGGCTTCACCTGACCACCAATTTAAATCAGTCCCTCTTCCTGTTTTCTTTTAACAACTGACCCTCTTGGTCACTCCTGCCTAGTACTTAATAGGTACCCAATATTTGTTAAATGAAGAAATGAATCCCCCTTCCTGAAGGCATGACACATGAAACCCTAAGTAGATTTAAAAAATGTATTTTGTAAAGGTCATTCAACACTATCTAGAAGAAAGGGCACCCACAATTCCTGTAGCTGTCTGCCTGTCATTTCTCAGGAGCTCTGTCATACTGTATTACCTACAACTGGGAGATAATGCCACCCTATGTACCTGGCCA